GCTATTTATGCTGGAATTGTAATGGGATAAACTATGTTGCAGGTAATCGAATGCGTTACGGTGCAATGTTGACTGAAATGCCATAAGATGGTATCTGCGAAGGGCAGAATATGTTTGCGGGAACATCGTACATTACACTAGTGTTTGTTCAGTATGTATCTTCAGTTTTATTTTACTGCCCGAAATCTAAAAAAAAATATTGGCGCCATAATAAAAACCTGATACGAATACGGTGCGTTTCGAACAATTGTGCAGGGATATGATGGAAACAGTAGTGCTGTTCCCGAGCGAGAGTATTTGAAATGTTCACATGAGGCTGCACGAGGTTGCAGATAACACGAGTTGATCCCAATCGTTGTACAATGACCAACCATTGGACAGTTCATGGCGTGTTCGAGTTGTAAGGTGAAAGTGGAATTGAAACAAGTTACAAACTCAATGCGGCAAGACGTGGATGTCTCTGTTAGTAGCGAGACGACATAGACTGCGAAGATATGTGTAAGTTCGTGTTTAATGAATACTATGGAAGGTCAGCCAGTAATTGTAATATTAAGAGATGATGTGTTAATGTTTACTGGTGTGCAAAACATGCACTGACCAGGTTGGGAAAATGGATCAGAAACAAGGGTGGCTTGATCACACAAACAAAAATTGTGAAGCCTCGAGTTACAGCTGCAACTTGGGTCAGCTGTTGATTGGCCAGTTTTGCTATCTGGTTGTGGTATTGTCCACAACAATGTATCTCTCTCTGGTAAAATAGTCAATTTGATAAAATATAAACTAATTTGACAAAAATAAATATCAAACAAATATTTTTGAATTTTTATTATTTATTTTTATTTTTACCTACTGGAAATGTTCTTAAGTGACCCGGGCAGAGGACTCCGTGGGAGGACATTATAAGAGGTTGTGAAGACATTTGCCAGCGCGCAAGGTGCAACAACAGCATTAGGATGTTTTATTGTGTCTTTTCGTATCGACGTATATAATTTTTTGTTAGTTTGGAAACACATAACAGTAGGAGGGAAAAACTAGTTTCCTATACAGTACTTTTTTGGTAATGCAGAAGTGCCCAACGGTTTAATCTTGGGTTAGAATCCAGTACTTTGTGGATATGAATGTTGATATTATTTAGTAAGCTATTCAAATAGTCTCACCTATTGCATGATAACAGTTTCACAGTGCATTACACTTTTATGTCATGTGAAGTAGATTGTTTTTAAATGGCAGATGGGCCTTGGTATGTAAACATGGTGTGATCTATGCAGGAGTTGGGCATGACGACACTCTGTTTTGTAAACCTGTTTTCCACCACGGCAGTATGTGTGGCTTCATGTACATGGAAGTGAACATGCAAAGACTGAGTACGTCGACCACATGCTAAATATGACATGCGAAAAGATTAATTTCGCATTTGCATCTTAATCAGAATTGTGATGATACCATGTTGAGCGTAACATAAAATTACCTTCGTGTTGAATTTAATTTAACGCAGTTGGTAATGGGTACATGTTTTGTGCAATGACAATGGATTGTAAGCAGCCACCCAAACATTAAAAATGCATTGCCGTTCCAGCTGCAGGTTGTTCGAGTCCGCTTTGGGCGAATGTTATGGTATGATGTGAACAAATTTGTAAACTAAAACGGCACCAATTCCCCTTTTCATGTCTTGACAGTGTTAATCAAAGCCAGATTTGAAAGTTAAATGGTTGTGTTTCAAAGGAGCAGTGTTAGTGTTCAATAGTGGGGACCAAAAATGTATGTCCTAATAAACAAATTAAACCAATAACATAAAGTGGATGAATGGTTTCCAAATCTGTTATCATGTCCACAGATTTCAAACAAAAACCGGCACCCATTGACTCTTCTCATGTGTAGACACCGTGATTCAAAACATATTTGAAAAATAAAACCCATTGGCTATTTTCATGCCTTCACATTGTTAAGCAAAACAGATTTCAAACTAAAATGGTTGGGTGTTAAAGGTGGAGTGTAATTATTCAACAATGGGAACTGAAATTGTTGCTGGATTACATACCAATGTATATCCTACAAAATAGATTAAACCAATAACAGAAAGTGAATGACTGATTGGAAAAAAAACAGGAAAACATTTCGGAAAACAAAATAACCCAGAATCCCAGTTTGTTAACAACCAAATTAAATCATATGGCAGCCCACCTGTAATGGCTCTTTGCATGTCTTCCTATTGTGATTACCCACTTTTCCGCAACGACCACAACGTATACGTTGCACTACCTCCCCCTTGGATGGAATTCTCTTCCGTTTTGGCCGACCGGGAGGACGCTTGGCCGTCGGCGGAGCTATCAAACATTCAGCTGGGTTAAACAGTGGCCTCCCCACTGTTGGGATGGGGTATATGGTTCCGCTATAAGTAGCTCGAAATGTATCAATGAAAAATGCAGAGTCTATGGCATCGTAGATGTTTCTCCCACTATTACGGAATGCAACAACAGCATGGGAACATGGGAACCCGTTGATCTGCCACTGAAAACAAGAACATGTCAGCTTGCCGACATCAACCAACACCGATGGGTGGGAGTGGACCTCATAGACATCATCATTAGCCTGGCTAACACACCAAGCCCTGCTGTCGTTATACGCTGCCACCAATTTTTTCTCCATTTTAGGGCATATTACACCGGCCCATTTAGTGCATTTAACTCTGCAGTCCAACATTTGCTCCATTATTTGACCCCTTATCATATCAACCAATCTAGTAATAGGAAGATGACGGGCCTCGCCGACCCAATTGTTGAAAGATTCAGCAGCGTTTGAGCACATCTCCCCGTACTGTCGGCCTCTAAAAAATAACCAAAATCAACGTTTACAAAGAGCATAAATTATAACGAAAAAATAAAACATACTACGAAAAAACATGCTGGAATTAAAAATACGCCATAACCCATTAAGCGGATCGTGAAGTACCTGAAATGCGCATTAGACCAGTGTTTTGGGTGCAAGTCTTTCATAAAATCTTCAATCATAGCTGGGTTGGACTTCTTCAATACCTCAAATTTCTCATTAAAGCAAGTAACAGTGGGCGCGTAGGCACATTCCCGTAACTTGCGCATCAACCCAATTTTGTGCGATGCATTAACATATTTCATTCGATCCCGCAAGTTCATTTGCAGATGCAACAAACAATATGCATGATGCGCTGAAGGGAAAATAATGGGCATAGAGTGTAATAATCCGACATGGCGGTCAGATATGAAAGTCAATGTTCGCCCACCCCCAACAACTTCTTTCAAATTATGAAGGAACCATTCCCAATTAGCTGAATTCTCGGAATCAACAATAGCAAAGGCTACCGGAAACAATCCTAAGACCAAACATGCAACATAAAAAGTTAGGCATGACAAAACTTATACAACCATCCACGAATAAAAAAGTGCGACACATTTTAAAAAATTTTAAAACGAATAAGCCTGCCACTGTGTGTTACATTCCTATTCAGTTTTATTTGAGGAGACCCTATTTCAATGTTCTCAATTTTTTTTTCCGTTGTTGAATGGGAAAGAAACATTTGAAATGTATAAAAATTTGAAGTATCTATTTACTAGTATGTTCAGCAAATAAGCAGTAATAGGTAAAGTAACACACCATTACCTTGATTGGCGTCTTTAGCAGTAGCTGCGAGCAAATTACCTTTAAATCTACCTTTCAAAAACGTTCCATCCAAAAAAAGCATAGGCCGGCAGTGTTTGAACCCATCTATACAAGCGCGAAATGATATGAAATACCTAACAAAGCTCCCGGTTTTTGGGTCAAACTCAAGATTAATGTAACTATTTGGGTTTTTTTGCATAACAGAATTGCTATACCACCTCAGCTGATCAAAGGACGTAGCGTGATCCCCGTACACCTCGCCCCTAGCTTTCTCAACACCCAACCATGCCACCCGGTAGCTAATATCCAAACCATACTCGTTCTTCAAATCAAACACAACATCAGTGGGGCGCGTCAACGGCTTATCGCGCACTCGATCTGCAACAACGGTAGACACCAAATCAGACCCCGTATGAGGGTTCCTAGAAGTACGTACAGCAGCCCCACAAGTATGCACACTATCAAACCTCTTAACGCAAAACACCCCACTTGACGGTAACATCCTCGCATGAACTGACCACGAACAATCTGTTGCCGCCGCAAACTTACACACTACTGTAATTCGAACGGAATCATTTTTACCATACTTGAGTTGAAATCCACATTCCATGGCATACTTACATAGAACTTCACAGAATTTAGTTGCTCCACCATCAAAACATTGTCCCACATGGGTAATACCATGCGCCCATTGCGCCGACAAAAACGTCTTCGATTTGTTCGGACAGTACGTTGGTAACAAATCCATTTGCTCATTCACGAACCCATTCCCGCTAACATGCCGTGATATTCCCCCATCGTCCGCGAAATCCAACACGACACGATTACCCCCCACACCAACATTACTTTCCTGAATGACGACCTCAATGTGATTTATCCCGAACGACTTAGCAAGGCACAACATGTTTTGAATGTCGTCGTCGCTATCCACCTTAAACTTCTTATATCCTGGAAAATCAAAAAACAAACACACCGCACCTGGTACCAATCCATCGAACTTCCCACAAATTTCATCAACAATCTTCACATACGACGAATCGTGATGCAACCGAATAAGAACATTAACTAAACCATACGAACACACCAGCAAAATTCCCCCTTCCATACCTGCACACATTTTGGAGAACCCATTACGCCTGCAACATACCCATGAAACAACCATAACAGAACAGTATGTGTGCATTTGTGGGATTAAACACAGCATTGCAGGAAAATTTAAACAAACCCAAACGACCCATCCTAGCCATTGAAATAACCAGGGCACCCATCCCATAGACAGTTCAGAGGAAACTTAAAAAATTCTGGAAAAAAAAAAAACCCTTTACCCAGGGGCTTGAACACAGCAATGCCACCGCAGGAAGACACCAACTTGAAATGTCCAGATACAGTGCGAAGAACAGCAGTGGTCGCTGGGGAAGATGACGCCGACCAACGGAAAAATAGCTCTCACCGTATTCTGCCTCCATGAAAACAATGGTGAAGTCAATGTAAATGAAGGAAAACAATTGTAATGAAACCGAAATGGTGGACAACAATAACAAAGAATCAGAAAAAAATGTCAATCAAATACATTAACAATGAAAGGAAATGATAGGCAGTCAGCACGCAAGTAACCGTTTCTGAGAGATCGCAAAAATGGTGAAAAAAAAGTTAATCAATCAAGATCATCCCCACTAAAAAATGTTGAATGCAGAAAATCAGTTGTAATGCATCGTAAATGGTAGACAAAAAATGGTGCTCACCGATTTGGGTGTCCCAGAAACAGTGCCAAAAGTGTTAACCAACAAACAAGTTGAACATTACGGAACTCAATAGCATTCACCAACAACTGTTCAAGGAAAGATTCTTGAAAAGGGTATTGACGTAAAAAAACAATGGATCAAATCAAACCCCCCAAAATCAGGATATTAAATAGGACTAAATGGAGCATAAGAAAACATTTAGGACTAAATGGTTCAACATTTCAACAAATAGGATTTATGGGTAAATTTTCCTAAAAAAAAGTTGGATTTAATACCGTTTACTCCAATACTAAAATTTAAATTATCATAAGATTTTAATGAAATATCTATTTCTCCCTCTATTTAATATCACTTTAATAAAAATATTAAAACCCACTTTTTAAATTTTTTTTATTAAATTTAAATCTAATGATAGATTTGAGTAAAGGTCGAAGATCGTTGGATCTTTCCATTTTTGGACTATAACTTTTCTTACATTTTAGATAATCACGTTTGAAAAAAAATAAAATAAAAAAAAGGACGATAAAATGGAAGAGCAACACATCTCACTCGTCCTTTCGGGGATTTTTCACCTGCGGAAGCACTCTCCATCTCACACATCAGCTCGCTCTCTCTCTCCCCTCGCCAATCAAACCTACCGCCCCCATTCCTCTCGCCTCTCCCCTCTCCCCTCTCTCTGCGCGTTTCATTGTTAGGGTTTCTCATCTTTCTTCTGAAAATCAAAGAATCAGAGGTCTTATCTCTTCAAAACCCTAATCAATTTTGGCACTTTGATTACCAACAATTTGGAAAACTTTCTATTACACCTCTCAAATTGTCTACCAAATTTAGCCATGGACGCTGATTCTTGGAGTGCTCGTCTCTCTTCTGCATCAAAGAGCTATAAATCGGCCCTTCAATCTCGATCTGGTCAGCTCCAAATTTTTCAATCTCTAATCCCTTTGTTATTTGTCTGCTATGTTTATTGAATTTATTGAAATGGGATTGCTTTGCTTTGTGTGTAGATATGTTCATGGGGTTTGAAGAAATCGATGGAGATGATGATATAAGGGAGGAGTTTCCTTGCCCTTTTTGTTCAGAGTATTACGATATTGTTGGATTGTGTTGTCATATCGATGATGAGCATCCTGTAGAGGCGAGGAATGGGGTATCACTCTCGTTTTTCTTGCTATTGATGATTCAAATATGCAAAATTTTTAATTTTTACTTCATAGATATGTTTTCTCATGCGTAGTGTCTTTTGGGCATTTCTGGGTATATGTTTGAGTTTTGAAGATTTCTTTGCGTTTCTTTAGTGTTTGTTTGGCTTCAGAGCACCTAATTGAACTCGAATTTGCTTTGTTGATGATGAGGGACTCACAGGAAGACTTAAAATGCTGTTTTGTTATTGTATGACATGGATTGCTGCGATTATATTCCCCTGAAAATAAAAAAATAAATAAAAATTTGTGGGGTTCATAAAGCTCATGTTCAGTAGTGGTGTTTATTATGATTATACTGGACGATTGGTTAAATTGATTTGGGGTGGAACCACACCCCGCTTGAGGCAGGACTATGGCTGGCATATAGATTTAATTAAAAGCTGCTATATAAAAGATTTTTGTTTTCTGAATAGAAATGAAAAGTTTTAGCTATCTTGCAGGTGTTTTCCTTTCCTTTCCTTTCCCTTCTCCTTTTTCTTATTCTTTTGATTTTTGAAGCCTGTCTTACAAACAATAGGAGGAATTCTTCCTGTGCAGGTGTGTCCAGTTTGTGCCATGAGGGTGGGGGTCGACATGGTTGCACATATAACCTTGCAACATGGAAGCATATTTAAGATATCCTTTTAATTTTAGTTGGTTTTTGCTATACTGGGCATTGGTATCCTTCCTGATGCTATTATTGAATCCGTTAATTTTTCAACTAAATTTGTAGATCTAATGCATGTTCTCCTGTCTTGTGGGGTTTTTGAGCCTTGCTTTTATGGAAAATTATTGAATCCTAACCAAGATTGTGAAAATCAGGATCCTACACTAGATCATTGGAGGTTGATCAGATTGTAGGATTGGATTTTGAGATCATAAGATCCTACCAGAAAAGAAATTTGTATAATAATTTTGTATGTAAAAATAATTCTTAAAAGTAGATTAAAATATTGGGAAAAATATTAACTCCAAGGGGTTGGCCTGGTGGCAAGGTCTTGGGTCTTGGGGGTGTGCTCCCTCAAAGGTTCAGGAATTGAAACTTTTTAGGTGCTAATAATTCCTTGAGACCATTGAACTAGGGGAAAACCGTTGAATTAACCTTGATGCACTTGCGGGAAACTTCTTGCCTGGTGCCAATCAAAAAAAATATTGGGAAAAATATAATGAACCATGCAAATATAGACATTATACAATGGAAAGGTCGATGGTAAAAGTTTTGCATTTTGTGGAAAGAGAGAAAAGTGGTGGAGAAGATGAATTTTACAATTGAGGATGTTGCACTCTGCTGTTCTAGTACATGAAAGACAAGTAAAAAGGGTTGGATTTGGAAAATAGATTAAAAACTCAAGAGAGAGAGAGAAATAAAAGATAAGAAAGGCTTCTATATCATAAAAAGCTATTGTAGTTGCATTGTACAATGACAGTAAATAGAACATGCAATTAAGCCAACAAAAAAAGAAAGAGAGAGAGAGAGAGAGAGTTGGATTCCCAATATGTTAAAAAGAAAAGAAAAGAAGAGGTATGTAATGCAAAAGGGGTAACTACAAGAAATATAAGAAAAAATAGAAAAAAAAAAGGTTGACAAAGATGATCTTAACCAAACAACTTCTTCTCTAACATATGGGCTTTTTTCGTTTTGTGTGTTTGTGAAAGATTTTGCTTTGCATTAAGACAAAAGCAGCAGCTACAATCAAACCAAGGGCATACCCCATAGAAACAAAAGCACCAAAGCCAAGTGAGAAAACAAATTTCCACCCTTCATCCAAAGCAAGTAATTCACAGCACTCAGTGACTGAATATCATAGAAGAGATGCCCCAATTATAACACATTTTTCTAGCACTAGCACAGAATTTCACATTCCTTAATGGGCTAAGCTTAGGCCTAATATCACCCACTAGCCCATCCAAAACCACATGAATAGGCAAAGCTATCTTCCTGAATATTCTACTATTCCTTTCTTTCCAAACATGATACATAGTAGTAGCAAGAGCCGATCGGTATACATAAGTTGTAATAGCCTTGCCTCCACAATTTTTAGCTGCCCAGCCTAGTTCTTCATCAAAATTCAGCATTTTTCTTCCAAAAAAAATTCTTCTCAAGATAGCTGTCAAAATATATGCTGAAAAATCACAACAAAAATATAGATGATCTTGAGTTTCTCCAAACCCATTGCAGAAAATATACTTGTTTTCAGAAACTATTACCCATTTCAATAGCCTATCCATTGTGGCTAATCCTTTCTGAACCGCAACCCATTGCACAAAGCTCAACTTAGGAACATTATGAGGGAACCACACCACTTTGTACCAAGGGACAACAGGGAACATAGTTCGAATTGCTTGCCAAGCTGAAGCCACAGTATGTTCACGATTACTAGAAGGTAGCCGGACCACAGAGTTAGTTCTATTAGGATTCGGTAGGAAGGTAGCAGGGTTATTAGCTTCAATATTAGCAGTACCATCTTTTCTACCTCTAGGCACTTCCAATTGCCCAAACTAATGAGAGAGGAAACTCTGCCATCTGCGACTCTGCCCATATGAAAAGCAACCCTTTCACCATATTTCTTATTCGAATGATCTAGGCAATGCCAATTATCAAACCACAGAAATGTAGAAATCCCATCACCGATGACATGATCAAAGGCCTGCCCCACAGCTCTTGCTTAAATTTTTTCCTTTACAATACTGGATGCCTCAATAGGAAGAGTCATATGCCATAAACTCTTATTCTTAATCACGTAAGTATGAACCCACTTAACCCACAAAGAATCAATTTCCTCGCTCAAAGCCCACAAATTTCTTAGCATAGTGGCCTTATTCCATTCTGTCAAGTTTCTGAATCCCAAGGCCGCTTTAGCTTAAGGGCTCTCCCTGTCCACAAAAAAATTCTTCAAAATTTTGTCTGTACTAATATAGAACTCCAATATACTCAAATGCTGGATAATACTGAGATTACAAGTTGCACTCTACCCCTATATGATAGGGATTTAGTGGTCCAACTTCGAACTGTATCCAATATTTTGGACTTCAAGAATTCGCAGTCCTGGGAAGTAAACCTTTTAGAGATATAGAGGGGGACTACCAAATACTTAAATAGGGAAATGCCCCTCAGGAATTGGCAAGATGGATTTTAAACTATCCTTCATAGCCTTAGAAACCCCAACAAAAAGGATAGTTGACTTTTGGAGGTTAGGCTTCAACCTTGAGATATAGAAAAATTCCTGCAAAGTATTTTGGATTAATTGAAAAGAATTCTCATCTGCACCAGCACCACAAAGGATGAATAAATCATCAACGAAAGCCAAATGAGATATTTTAAGCATTTGACAGTTAGAATTAAAGGTGAAACTACTAGTTCTAATGTTCCACTTCAATAAAGAAGAGAAAGCTTCCGTAACTACCAAAAACAGATAAGGGGAAATGGGATTTCCTTGTCTTATTAGACCCCTAGCCCCTGGAAAATATCCCTCTAAATCATTATTGGTCACAATGGAAAACATTGAAGTAGACACACTTTCTAATCCAATCCATTAACAGCTCAGGAAAGCCCATGGCAACCAGTGTATCAAACAAAAAATTTCCAATCAACTGAATCATAGGCCTTCGTAATATCAATTTTAACGGCACATCTAGGCATGCCATCATCTCTATGATAGTTTTTTGTTTGTTTGTTTGTTTAAAAACCTGACCTTATTGAGGCTATAACTATGTGCTCTGGAATCCTTGACTAGAATTTACATGCAACGCAAGAGGAAATTTCGTAAAGGTGGATCCCATTCGACGCTTTCTTTGTTGAGGAGGGAATTGAGGGAAGGAAATCTGCAGTCCCTTTTTGGAGGGTCTTCCTGTATAGTTACTTCAACCAACGCGGCACCGGATCCATTGTTGTCATCATTTATTCTGCCTATGGCTGATGATTTTGGGAATGTTCAGCCACACTCTTCGGCTAAAACAGTCTCAGCGAAGAAAAACACGACTGAGAATGTATCAGAAAGGTATGGTACTGGATTCTTACCTTCTTTCCTTTTCTTGGCTAATATTTGATCTTTTATAGTTCTGGTTACTTTCTGATACTATAGGTTAACTCTGATTACTGGTCTTCCTGTTTTTTGGGCAGTAGCAATCTCCTAATTGTCCTGTATTTGCTTGCTAGAATAACTTGTGTCTATGTTGCTTCTTTCTAATTTGGTTCATTTGAGTAGTTGTAACTCGTAACATCCGAACACTGTCAAGATTGATGATTTTAAAATGGGTGAGATCACTGTCTGGTAACTTTTCTTTTTCAAAGTAAAAGAAAAAAATGCTCACTATTGTTAGCTGAGTGCAACAAAATACAAGTCTATAGTTTTTCCTTCATCAAATTCTGGAGAAAGTTGATGACTCTGCAGAAATGTCAATCCACTGATTATTTATTTATTTATTTTGTTTGATGAGTGATTTCTAACCAAAACTAAATTATAGGGTTTGAATGCACTACGTATGAGATGGAAAAGGTGGAAACTTAAAGTCATATTTGAAAGCAAATATGCATCTCCTAAAAATTTCAGAAAGCATGGAAAATCAATTATTGGCAACTTGTGAAGAAGCTTGGCAACTTCTGAAAATTACTGTTTATTAAAATTATTATTTTTTTACTATAAAAGAATTCATATTTGAGTACCTCATGTTCTAGTTTTGCTAAAAGTTATGTGTCCCTTATTTGTAATTTGTTTGCATTGTGCTAAATATTGTTGGGATATTGAGCATGCTTGTTTGCATTGCTGATTGAGCAAGTTTTTGGGAATTACAATCCTATCACCAAAAGTAAAAGGGGGATTTTGGAAGTTACTAAGAGAAACTTGCTTGGATTCTCACAACTACTCAACTTCAACTTAACTCAATTAAGCATTGTCCCAGGCTACATGGTCCATGGATCCTGTTTTGTCATTTCACTTGATGAATGTCCACAATTGCAATTAAACCACATGTTAACATGTTTTTCTGTGTTATTTCAATCCATTTGCAATTAAACCACATTAACATGTTTTTCTTTGTTATTTCAATTCGCATTAATTTTTGTTTTTCTCATCCACCAGCATTACCCACAATATGGAAAATGTCGTTCTTCCTATTTGGTACACTTATTGGTTTCTGTTGTACATGAACAAATTATCTTAATCGATATTCTCTCATTGTCTTTAGTAGAAGCTACCTTTACCATCTTACGAATTCATTTATTACTTGTCCTGTCTGTCCCAATTTTGCCACACATCTAATCAACATCCTCATTTGATTTCTTGTCACCTCAACTCATTTTCTCCCTGACCTTTCTTCTATTTATGTTACAATTCTTTATGTCGATCAAATTACTCCTTACATGCACGTTGATTGACCTATGGTACACATGATTATATTGTCTCAAACGGCTCTCTTATTTTATCTCAATTGGTGTCCATTCTAATTGCTTCTTAATGAATTAATTTCTTATCATCGCTCATCCATTTCAACATACTTATTTCAACTGCACTTATTTTTTGAATATGTTTTTTTCTTAACCGCCCAACATTCAATACCATACGTGATAGCAAACCATGAGTTCTCTAGTAACTACTTGCATGGGTTAAATCAATATATATATTGGATCATCAACAAAAATTTATTGAAAATCAAAGGAGAAAGAGTACAACATTGATAAGGGGGACAAGCAGTCCACTAAAAAGAAAAGATAAATGTAAGATCAGAAGTGACATACAACCTTCTAATCTCTACTCTCTAGATATCATAAACAAAGGAATCCCCTTAAATGAAGATGACAGCCAAGCTCAAAAAGAGGATAAATAACAAATCTCATCCCTTAAATTTCCTAAATGTTCAGTCTTATTCTTGAAAGTTCTTGAATTTCTCTCCAACCAAATGATTCAAAGCATTGCACAAATAGTAGGCATGTTCGCCATCTAGTTTGGATAACATACAGTGGGGCTGGCTTGTTATTTGTTTAATATATGTTCAATCTGTATGCTTGATTTCTATTAGTGTGTTTCATGGCGGAAGATTAGGCATCTCACTTAAAATGGTAAATGCACTACTGATTAGAAAAACTGAAATGCACTTATAAAGGGCCTTGATTTTAGTTTAGAAAGACATGTCATAAATGCTGAACATACTTTATGGAAGGTGTTTTTTAGTTTTGACAAACTGATTTATCTTTAAATATTTAATTTATGTTTTATTTTAGAAGTCCATTACTTTAGTGTTGCAGTTCACTTGTCAGCATTAAAATATTTTTTTTACTTAGTTTACAACCTGATTAGTTGATTGGAATATAGGCTGATAATTCAAATGCTTGGGCTTTCCTTCCTACAATATAGAGCACTGACAAGAAGTTAAATCTGGCATCCATTGACTATCATATTAGGTTTCTGTTAAGTGAGGTTGATGAATCTGGGATTGAAGATGAGGCCATGTGTTCAAGAACTAATGCAGTTTTTCAGGAATGAAAATTAACCACATTTTAATATGATGATGCATATTGAAGACTGCTAGGATATTAGGATATTTTCATTTTCAGTTGGCCATGGACAAGTAACTGAGACATTGAGATTTCAAAATGTTTGACGACCTTACTTCTTGGGGAAATGCTACAATGTGCACCCCTGAAAAGGTTCACATTGTAAGACAAGTTGTGATTTTTGTGATGAAAGTTACGGTTTTTGTGTGTTGGAAGTTACGATTTTTCTGATAAAAGTTATGAATGGCGAAATTATGGTGTGTGCACGCCTAAAGTTATGGATGGCAAAGTTATGTTTTTTGTTGTAAAAGACATTACTTTTTGTGATGAGCAAAAACTTATATTTTTTGTGATGAGTAAAATATTTTACTTTTTGTGATAGAAGATCTACTTTTTTTATAAGGTGCATGCCATATGCACCCTTTTTGGGGTGTACATTGTAGCATTTCCCTCTTGGGGAAATGTCATCTTATCTTAGAATCTTTTAGATTGTTTTAAGCTCAAGAGCTTCTCTTTTTCTCTTGATAAGGGAGACAAATAAATTTTAGAAGGGTTATGTAGAGTTATTAATGCAGGTCATTTATTTGTAGTGTTTACTTATCAAAACCTTATGTAGTAAAGTATAATTTAGTTGTAGTGTCTTTTAAATGAATATTGTGCTGCATACAGCCATTTCACTGGAAGCTTCCATTTACTTGTCATTTAATGATGCTAGCTAATGCATAATACATATTTTGCTTACTCTTGCTAGTCAATGGACATATCTTACCACATAAAGTTTGAACCATATGTAGGGATGCTTGCAGGCTATGCAAATTGCTGTGGTTCTATTGCAATCTTGTGGGAGAAATTGTTAAAAGGTTTTGTGAAATAGAATTCTGGATATATTTATGAAATCAGATTACCTTTCCATTAGTTGTGTGGGAATTGGGAGTACATAGGAAATTTATACTTAAAAGGTTAGAGATTTGAGAGATGGTAGCGAGTTGTTTATTTATTTAATTTGTTTATAATAAACATGAAGTATTGCTTTTGGTATATAATGGAAAAGAATTAGGTCATGAAGGACCTTAGGAAGAGTTGGAACAGCGGGTGCATCCATAGAAAGATGGATAATTGAGGTTAGAAAATTAGCACAAGAAAAGAAAATTTAAACAAAATTTTAAAAATTATGATGAAAAATACCAAAAATAGTGGCGTAATGGAAGATACTATGCAAATATTGTTCTTAATGGCTGTTACAGGCTGTTATAGTAGCATTATGGTTGTGATTGTATTTTATTTTTTTATTTTTATTTTTATTTTTATTTTTATTTTGTAATCAATAAATAGTGTCGTAACGATAATGGAGCCCAGAAATCTCGTTATGTAATTTATAAGGACCATTTTTTAAGACTATCGTTACACTGATAAAAATTTATGCATGGATTCTACCGATCGATGATCCCGAAGGATAGAGACAAGAAGAGAGAGAGAGGGGGTGGGGAGGATGAGGAGGATATCACTCTAAAAAGTGAGCAGAATGAAGTAAATATGTCTTTTCTGTTGGTTCTTGGATGAGTAAATCATGCCCAACGAACTTGTTCATTGTTTGAATGTACTTTTTTAATTAAGGGAGCATTTAATGGAAGGCCAACTGGTGTGATTATCTTCAGCTGGAAGATGGTCATGTTTTTTTGGGATATAGTCTTTCGGCAACAACTTGATGATTGGGAATTGGAGTTATTGTTTGGTCTTCTTGGGCCATATGCTTGGTAGATGGTGGTGATGCAGTGTGATGGTCTAAGAAAAATTCTGGCATCTTTAGTGTAACTGTGAAGTAATATTATGAGGTGCTTTTGGGCCGTAGGGGGTTTTCTTGGAGAGTGGTTCGCAAGGTTCTGAAAAGTGGTTGCGGTCATCGTAATGGTGGCGGTGGCACGGTTTTGGTTGCGGGGTGTAAAGGCCGTAGCGTAACGGTTGTGGTAATCGGAACCGTGAATTTTTTTATTTTTCGCACAATTTCAAAAAAACTTATCGATATGCACATTTTTTTTCCATGATCATATTTATTGGGTTTTAAAATAAATATTGATCATTTTTTATAAATTTTTAAGTTTGATTCAATATATTTCATATTTTTAAATAACTGTAAACTGAGTTTTTTACATTTTATTTTAATAATTAATGACTTTATATTATACAAAAAATCAAGTACTAACTATTATATATAAGATAAACAATGACAAAAGTAAGAGAATAAATAAAAGTCTATATATATATATATATTAATTAAGCCAAATAGATAATGACCACACTTATTATTATTATTATTTTCAAACAATATATAGATAGACAAACACAAACAAAATGGTTGAGTGATAGCAGCTGAATAGAATAGCATAAGTCTTACAATTTCAACAAATCAATAACATGTTCTTCATCTTCCCTATTCTCTCTCTATCACTTTTTCCTCCATCTTCCCTCTTCTCTCTCTATCTCTCTTCCCAATTTTTTAACCTTTTTTTTTTTTTTTGTGTTTTTTCGAAAGAAACAATTCGGAACCGTTATGTAACTGTGCGTAACAGGCCGTTGCGGCCGTTATGGCACCGTTACGACCGCTATATCAGCCGCTACGGCCGATACATCTGTGAATCTTAATCATACTGTAAAAGCGGCCGTAACGGGTGGCGGTAACTACCACAACCATTACGTAACGGCGTTACGTAACGGTTGCGGCCGCTTTTTAAAACCTTGGTGGTTCGGGACACTAGAACTCCAAATATTTTATTTCATTTTGGTTTGGTGTGTTGCTCATGACAAAATACTTACCATTGATTACTTGATTAGGAGGAAGGTGCATGTTAATTGGTGTTGTATTTGCAAGCATGCATAGGAAACAGTTGGAGGGCAGTGTGGGGCATTGGAGCCCCTTCAAAAATAGGTTTTTTTTGTTTGTTTTTGGTTTGGTGTGTGGTTCATGAAAAAATACTTACCATTGATGACTTGATCAAGAGGAGGTGCATGTTAATTGGTGCAGTATGTGCAAGCATGCAGAGGAAACAGTTGATCGTTTGCTTCTTCACTGCAAGGTAGCATGGTGGGAGTTGTGGTCATTAGTCCTCCTTTTGTTTGATGTTTACTTGGGTGCTTTTGGGGGTGGTGAAGGAGATTTTCTCTTCATGGACTGGAGGCCATATGGGTTGGAGGAGGAAAGCTTGGGGCCAGGCTTCGTAGGCACTTTTGTTATTAGTTTGGGGATAGTGGAGTAGGAGACCTTTCTTCGGGGTTGAGAGATCTCTTTTTAAAATTAGGAGTAATTTTTTTTTTTTATCCTTGTACTGTCGGTTCTTGGGGGTGGTTAACTGGTCCTTGAACCAATTCTTGGGTTTTGTTAAGTCTTTGTAGTTTTTGTTTATAGGTCTTATTTTGTACGTGGGTTTTGCACCCCCTTAGTGCCTTTCTTAATAGGGTCTTTCTAACAAGTGCTCCTAGAGTGCAAGTGTGAGACAAAATTCGAAGAGCACAAGACACTTTTCACTAAATTCAATGCATTTTTACTGAAATCAATACAATTTTGAATAGTTTTTACATATTTTCAAGGCACTTTATACACATATCCCAATATTAAACAATGCATAGGGGGCACTTGTTAGCATTTGACTTCTTAATAATAGTTTACTTAATAAAAAAAAGGTAATGCTTCAACAGCGTACTTTTTTCTTTTTTCTTTTTTAAATTTTTTTTGGAGTTTTATGTACGTATATTGGTAATTGAACTATTTTAACACCAAGTAACAGAGCCAACGGTCTGCATGAGGTGATTGGGAGTTGACTTTGGCATATTAATACAAGATGTCTTTATGTCACCGCATTTGTAAATGGAGCTCCAGTTGTTTTGGTAGTGTTGGTGGTGTAGCATTGCCCATGAATGGGGTCATAAGAATTTTGGGAACAATATCTTGACATGTGACTCCATATTAGACTAATAGCCCAAAAAGGATCTTTTCTGGACTTCATTATCCACAGCTTATCTTCTCCTCCGATTCATAAGTGGCATAGAGAAGAGCCTATGTATGGATGGGCACAGGTATTCATGTAGCAATGAAATAAGAGTCTCTTCAATTCAATTCTTGTTCTTATCATTTTTGCAACAGTTAATTATTTTGAATCTTGCCAAAGAAGTATTAATTATTTTGTTGTATTGTTTATGTGAAGATGTTAACATAATTGTTTGTGTTGTTTATGTGAAGATGTTAACATAATTGGTTGCGATGCAAAGAGTCTCAGTAAGGGGGGCTGTTTGAGAAAACTTTAAGTACAGAATTTCTACTACTGAAAATTTTAAAACATATATTTTAGTTGAGAATTGCCTTTTACCAAGTATATTCAGGATTCAGTACTAACCCAAGTCTATTTGACTTGAAATTAAGACATTTTTAGTAGTTTTTTATATTTTAGTGTTAGGGGGTATATGATTATCAAATGCACCTAGTTATTAAACCACCGAATGTGTTTAGATTTAAGCACTTAGTTGCATTACCAAACCAGAAGAGTTGTGTGTTTCTGAAAGAAAGCAATTTGCTTAAGGATAACAGAGAGTCGCGAAGCAGAAACAGAAATATGAAGCAAGAACATCAATCTATTGTTGTTCTTTAGCTGTCCTATGGCTGATATTGACTTGTGTTGACAGGATTGTCCAATCTGCTCCATTGTCGATTGAGGATCAGAGGGAGAAGACCAGGAGATCCGAGTTTGCTCAAGGTCTGTTGATGTCCACCATTCTCGATGACGACTTATGAAGAAGGTCCTATTGTGGCTGCTCTGCTGCTGCTGCTGCTGTGGCTGTGGCTGTGGAATGGAATTTCAAAATTACAGCAAGGGCTGCATGAGCAGTGCTTTGTTTGTAGTGAGCATGTTTCTGTATTAAATAAGCTGTAGTAATAAATGAATGTAATTTATGTGTTGCCTGTGGAATTTAGTAGCTAGGCGAAATCAAGACTCGTGCATTCTACTCTATTCTAAATTCATGCTATATTGATTAAAAAAAATGCGAACATATTCATATGTCGCTCTCCTATTTAACTCATTATCATCTGCATCATGTTTTGTTGGTGTTTAGACAGATTTATGGTCAAATATTTGGGTTTGCAGTACCATTATAATTTATAATCCTAGGCAAGTTTGGTGCTAGTTTGGTTAGTTTGAAAAATAGCTTGTAGCTCGAAAGCTCCAAGGCCTGATTGGCCCGGATTGGCCCGAATTGCAAAATGATGTCGTTTTGCGGTTCTTTTGTTTTGTTTTTTTGTCTTCTTTCTTCTTTCTTTTTGTATTTGAAACGAGGAGGGGAGAAGAGGGAGAGAGTGAGAGAAAGCGAGAGGCGAGAGAGGAGGAGGAAGAGAAGGTGATGGCGGTCGTCGTTGATCAATCGCCGGTGGGTATCGTTGCTGATCGCCACTTTTTTTGTTTTCTGTATTTTTTTTTTTTCTTCTAGTGGATCTAGATCTGTTGATGATGATGATGCGTTGATGAAGATGTTGATTTTTTTTTTTGTGTTGGGTGATTTGGGTTTGATTTTTGGTTGATCTCTCTCTTTGGGCTCGGGTGATTTGGGTCTGCTACCCTCTTCTCTCTTTCCTCTTCTCTCTTCTTTCTTTTTTTCTTTCTTTCTTTCTTCTTCTTTGTTGAAGAAGAGGCACAGATCAGAACAGAGAAAGGGGAGAACAAAAAAAAAAAAAAAAATAAATAAATTCAAAATGATGTCGTTTTGATTTTAGGGCCAATCGAGCCATTGATTTTCGAGCTACCTAGTGGGATTGGGTTAGTTTTTACAGCTTCCTTGTGCTTGTGTGCATCTTTTGAGGAAATCAAATTTATTTGGATTTTCATTGAATTTGAGATGTATATAATATATATTCTCCATGAAATTTTGGGATATTTTAAATAGGCAAATACTAGAGTGTCTCTAGGGCATTGGTTAATATTGGAATTAAGCTAAAAGGTTTCTTGAAAATAGGTAAAAATAATTTTTTTAAAAAAAAAAGTGAATTGATTTGCATTAAATTTGTGTTATTCATTTGTTTTTTTGTTTTGTTTTTTGTGTCATGAGTACTTATTAGCAAGATTTTTTTATTTTTTATTTTTAAAATACGTGAGCAATACCTTCTTTTAAAATAAAAATAATAATTAACTTATGAGTTAAAGGGATTGGTATCATCTGTCTCAATTTTCTGTTCTATCTTCTTAGTAACGTAATGTTGTCACAATTTGAATTCAATTTATTTATTTGGGTGATTAAGAATTTTTTTTTTTGTTTTTAAAAAAGTGTGTTTTTGGATTCAAATTTTTGATGATGTGTGGTAGGGTTGAGACACAGGATTTCAAGCCAATTAAAACTTTAAACTGTTATTATTTTATATCATTTAGGGAGGGTTGTAAAATGAATGAAGTTATTTGAGCTAGCAGTCTTAGCACCTCCCACCACGATAATTATTGTAGAGGACCAAATATCCTCCAAATGTGTAGTGCATATAAATTATTAATGTAGTGGTGTTCAGTTATATGTTAATATTGTGCTTAATCAGAATAAACAAATAAACAAATCTTGAGATTCCCATCTCAGAAAACACACACAACAAATAGTTTCAAAACAAAATGGAACCAATTGTACCTTTGGAATTATATATGGGCTATACACAAACAGCATACACACATTCTTTAATAGCAAATCGCCTTAGTGTATTGTTTTTGGGGTATATGACCTCAAGTTTTGGCACCCATTCATTTCTCAAAATACTAAATAAATCATCACCATCACATGATCACATTGCACCACCCTAAAAAGATTGTACCTATTTTTTATTGTTTTGTGGGGAGATTGTGGGGTATGAGAGAGAATTCGAGATTAGATGCATTGTCGTTATTAGATGCATTGTCGTTAATATTCTTACTGTGGTAATCCAACAGTTTAGATTTTAAAGTTAAAGCAAACAATATTGTTTTATAAGATGTGTGATTTTAAAAAAAATGGTATTTTTTTGTCATTTATTTCAGTTTTAAATTGGAATAGTAATGTGATTGTTATGATAAGAAATGTAAAAAGATCATAACAAAAAATCTACTGATAAAATTTGATTTCTTGAAAGTCCTACGCGTTGTACATAAGGGTAACTTACATGAGTTTTAGGAGTTCCATTTGTATTTTCAAAATCATAACACTAAGGACAATTAACTAGAGAACAAGATAAAATATGTCAACTTCGAAATGGTTTTAGAGAAAGGTTGAATTTAGAAGTGTTCTATTTTTTTTTGAGTACGGAGAGTCCTCCCTCTCATATAAGTACAACCATACTAGATCATTTGATATTTACACTTCAAATGAAAGACCCCATTTTCCCCCTTTTGAAATCCATTTCTTCATAATAAACATCTCAACTCAGTCTTTGGTTGAAGAGGAAATGTATTTCAATTTTGGTACAAAATGAGTGTTTTGGATATCATATATAAACATAAGGCCCTCCAAAAAGGAAAATGGGGGAGACCCCAGCACCCCTACTGGGTGCTGTTTGGCCCAATTTTTTTTTTTTTTTCATCCTTTCCCTGCCACCCCGTGTATGTGGGGGTGGTGGGGTCTGCCCCAACTCGGGTCTGCAGTACTATTGCTCCAAAAGCTATTTGGTTAAAATAGTCAAAAAGTCATAAAAAAGTAAAAAGTAAAAATATCACATCTTACATATTGACAAGTCACTTTTTCTCGTATAACCATCTATGCAACTAAAAAAAATATTCTAAACACACTATTAACTTTTTCTTTTTTTAAAATCTTATAAAAAGGTCAAAAAGTCTAGTTCTCAAACGAATTATCATGTTATGTGATAAATTAGTACAATTCTAGTGATAGAGTCATGCTATCAATACACACCCTTAAAAAGGTGTATATCATATTTGTGGTGTTGATTATCGTAAATATCATAACTTAAAAAAAAAAAGGTCATAACCAAATATCACATGAGATATAATTAAATTTGTTTTTCGATCATTACTAAAATAATAATCACAGTAGTCATAATAAACGCTACAATGAGTCATAACTAACACCACTATTAATTATAATCAAGTCATAACTAATACTATAATAAGTTATAAACAAATATCACAAACGTCAACATTAGATGCACCTCCAAAATTGAGGTGTTACAAAATTTCCTTAGCAACAAGTATACTTGCTCTGTTCTAAAATATTAGTCCATTATTCTATTTTTCATTGTCCCAAAATATTAGTCTCTTCTCAAAAATTAAAAAATAAAATAATATGAATTTACTATTTTTTTCCTTCTTTTAAATTCATTAATAATATAAAAAGTATCATTATCGCAATTGATATTTTTTAAAAAATATACTATCAAAGAATAATTTTAGAAAATTAATATTTTTAAAATATAATAATTATACTATTAAAAAAAGTTAAATTTTTTAAAAGAAACCATTATTTTAAGATGGAGAGAGTAATAATTATTGGGGGGTGTGTGTTACAAAATTTCTCCTAGTGGTAACTATAATAATTGTGTGGCAAGTAACTTTTATTTTAGGGTTTTTTTTTAGGGTATCTGGTATTAAGATTTTATAGCATGAATGACACAAAATATTTTCATAATGTCTAAGATTCCTCAATTTGATCTAGAGAAATTTCATCCAGAGAAATTCTCTGGACTTCCCAGAGAAATTTCTCTCTAGAGAAATTCTCATCCAAAGAAATTTCTCTCTAGAATTTCTCTGGACCTTTGAGAGAATTTCTCTCTAGAGAACAAATTTTTCTGAGTTTGTTTTATTGAAATTTTACTGAGTTGTCTCAGTAAATTTCACTGAGTGTACCAAACAAACAAAACAAACAAACAAATAGTATAAATACATACATATGACTTCACCAATTTTACTCAATTAAAGGCAGAGAAAATTAAACAAATTGAGTTTAAACTAGAGAAATCCAGAGAATTTCTCTGTACCAGGAAAGAATTTTTCTGGACCCACTTCAACTCAGAGAAATTTTCTCAAAACCAGAGAAATTTATTCAAATCAGAGAAATCCCCCTCTCCAAATCACTTAACCTAGAGAAATTCACAACTCAGAAATTTCATTTTCTGTCACCATTCGAACCCGACCGCATAGATTTAGGAATTTGCCTAGAGAAATGGTTTAAAGAGAGGTTCAGAGTTCTAGATAAAGATTTTAACTCACCTATATCTTCCGAAATCGATCCGCTAAAATTGTTAGACGAGAGATCGAGCTGAACCAAATTCACCATCTCCGGCCAAATCCTCGCCGGAATTTCGCCGAAAAACTTGTTCCGAGCCAAATTCAAGTGCTGTAGTTCCCGGCAATTGTGTAGATCTTTCGGAATCGATCCGGAGATCAAGTTGTTAGAGAGATCGAGGTTTTGAAGTCTCGGGAGATTACAGAGAGAAGGAGGGAGAGAACCGGAGAGATTGTTACCGTAGAGAAACAGACTGTGGAGTGAGGAAGCATTGAAGAGTTGATCAGGGATCGAACCGTAGAAGTTGTTGCCGTGGAGGTTGAGTCGTCGGAGATAGACTAGGGTTCCAAGCTCTGAGGGAATATAGCCCCTGGGATTCTTGCCGGCAAGGGAGATTCTAACGACTTGGGGTTCGGAGAATACAAAGATATTCGTCGAGGAGATTCCGGTCCACTGGCAGGGGGTGGTGTCATTTTCGTTCCAGTCGGAGAATGCGCCGGCGCCTCCGTGATCGACGGCAGATTTTAGGGAGAGGAGAGAGAGGCCGTCGGAGGAGAGAGAGTATGTGAAGTTGAGATTTTGGATGTAAATGAAAAAACATAATAGGAGCAGAGAGAGTTGAGACATTTAGAGAAAACAGAGCTGAGCTGAGCTAAGTGATGGCTCTCGGAGCACCATCTCTCTGTCGGGGTATGTACGTTACTGATCTTGATGGTGATCGAGTGCAGAGTTGTTTGAGGATGGATGTGAATCGACGAGCCATTCCTGTGAAGGACTTTGATTCAATTTTTGATTGGATTTCTTGGCAGAATCGGAGAGGTCTGAGAATAGAGAAGTTTAGAGAGAGAGAGAGAGAGAGAGAGATGAGTTTTGATTTGGTAAGGTCAAATTTCTCTATGATATATTAGTGTGGAAGTTGACGGACCTTAGACATCATAATATAATATTGTGGATCTCTTCCATTACTAAAAATGAAAAAAGGACCTTAGACTAATTTTTCCTTGATCATATATGCTGCAGCAGATCTTACTGTATGAGAAATTATTTTACAATAATACATTATTTACATATGAATGTTAGATTGTACTTTATCATTTGTTTTTGAATAAATTACTAGTTAGACCCCACGCAATTCGCATGTAGGGGTCATGCCGTCATTAGCTAAGAATAAAGTCACGTCGATTATGCTATCATTGGCTATGAATAATAGAGCGAAGCAAAAATGTGACAAATTGTTATTAAATTCTATAAATTTATTGTATGGATTGAAGCTACAAGCAAAATTAGTCAAATATTGAACCATTGAATGTGACGATCCGGAGATCAAGTTGTTAGAGAGATCGAGGTTTTGAAGTCTCGGGAGATTGCAGAGAGAAGGAGGGAGAGAACCGGAGAGATTGTTATCGTAGAGAAACAGACTGTAGAGTGAGGAAGCATTGAAGAGTTGATCAGGGATCGAACCGTAGAAGTTGTTGTCGTGGAGGTTGAGTCACCGGAGATAGACTAGGGTTCCGAGCTCCAAAGGAATATAGCCCCTGAGATTCTTGCCGGCAAGGGAGATTCTGACGACACGGGGTTCGGAGAATACAAAGATATTCGTGCAGGAGATTCCGGTCCACCGGCAGGGGGTGGTGTCATTTTCGTTCCAGTCGGAGAATGCGCCGGCGCCTCCGTGATCGACGGCGGATTTTAGGGAGAGGAGAGAGAGGCCGCCGGAGGAGAGAAAGTGTGTGAAGTTGAGATTTTGGATGTAAATGAAAAAACATAATAGGAGCAGAGAGAGTTGAGACATTTGGAGAAAACAGAGCAGAGCTGAGCTGAGTAATGGCTCTCGGAGCACCATCTCTCTGTCGGGGCATGTACATTACTGATCTTGATGGTGATCAAGTGCAGAGTTGTTTGAGGATGGATGTGAATCGACGAGCCATTCCTGTGAAGGACTTTGATTCAATTTTTGATTTGATTTCTTGGTAGAATCGGACAGGTCTGAGAATGGAAAAGTTTAGAGAGAGAGAGAGAGAGATGAGTTTTGATTTGGTAAGGTCAAATTTCTCTGTGATATATTGGTGTGGAAGTTGAGGGACTTTTGACATCATAATATAATATTGTGGATTTCTTCTATTACTAAAAATGAAAAAAAGGATCTTAGACTAATTTTCTCTTTATTCTAATGATAAATCCCGGTCCATTATTTAGGCTTGTTTTTAACAATAATTTAAAATTATTAAAAAAGTCAAAACATAATTATTAAAAAATTAACTCTTCTTTTTATTTTTTTACATATTCTTTCACAAAAAATAAAAAATTAACTAAAATAGTCATTTTTCAAAACAAAAGTTACTAAGGTTAATTAAAAAAAAAAAAAAATCATAAAACTACTTTATTTTATAAAAAAATAAAAAATTATATTATTTTTTTATCCAATTTTAATCATTATCAATCAGAGGTTGAATTAATTCCTATCCAAACCAAACAGTCAGGGGTGGCTTTTGGTTACAGTACCCCAAAACTACATGTATATCTTAGGTACCTAGAAAAATCCAAAATCTCAATGATTGGACATAAATGCCAGAGTGAAAAGGGCATCAATGGAAGGAGCAAACCCAAACCCCTATTTTCCTGCTAAATGGACAGATGTCACAACTAAGAGTCAGAAGTTTCATATGCCTTTTGTCATTTATGTATATGTTTAACAAAGCACATCAAAATTAGTTGTACCACTCCACTTCGACTTCTGTATCAAGTTCCAACTACCATGTTGACCTCCTTTAACTTAGCTATCAAAAACCAAAAAAAAAGAAAAGAAAAAAAAAAGAAAAAAGAAAACACACACACCACCACCAACAACAGACCTCAAGGACTATTAAAAAACTCAGATTACACTCATGGTAAAATTGAGTGAATTATAACTCACTCATGTTAGATGTAAGTGATATATCACACAAGTTAAGAATAAGAAGGAATAAACAGGGTATCATATTCATTAAACTTGTACCAAGTCTGTCTCAAGTCTAAAAACCATGATCAACTCTTATTCCGATCTGATAACAACATAAAACTTCTATATTCAAGGTCAGTAATCTATGATAATCAAAGGAGAAATAATAACAAGAATAATTCTACTTCTCTATGTCTAATCAATGCCTAACTGTTGGAACTGATCCAAACAACAACAATGCCATTGGTTTTCACCATCAGTAATTTATCCACATAGACAATTTAATTTAACCATGATTTTTTTGTCTTAATTCCTAGCAGAAAAGAGAGAAAAAAAATATAGTAAAAATGGTGTATGCAAAAATAGTCAAATGGACAGCAAGAATGGTGAGCCATATCACAACATCAATCGCTAACCCTAAACAATGGAGGAGGCACTTTGTGTGTTCGTGATTTCCCTCACTACACGCCTCACAAATGAATCAAAACAAGATGTGCAGAAACCTTTCATCAGGCTCATCTGTCCACTGGCCATTGCTTCAGCATGGTTACACATTGAGGGTGGCTGCACAGGATAAACCTCACTCGCCTGGTGCTCAATGCCACATGATGCTAATATGGTGTGCGTAGAGATCCTTGCAATGTCCTTGAAGGTGGTACTGTATCCTACACCAAAATAGTTGGGACAAAATTTAATATTATTCCAGTACCATATAGATTAATATTATTCCACGCACAGCAAAATTCATATGCACTTCAAGCCTAAAAAGATGCATCTTACAGTTTCTATAAGCATGTCTATCAAAAAAAGGGGTTCATACCCAATTGAGATGCTAAGTGCTAAGTATGACTAATATGCTTATATCTAAGAAAGATATTGAACTATAATCAAGCTCAATGCACTGCAAGGTGACCCAAAGCCACTCTCAAAACTGTGAGTCTTGTAAGAAATAAACAAGGTACTAGTGGCATGACTTGATTATGGATTTGGAAAAATGATTTAATCTTCCAAAACACGACGCAGTGTCTCCAAACTTTCTATTGCCTATACAACTAGAGAGTTCACACTTGTATTGCATCCTAATTGATATAATTTATTCTCAAAGACCGAACTGCTGCATGCAGTTGAAAAGAAAAACTGCAAACTTGACATACCTAACTCCATCTCTCTGGATAAGCTTTTTAAATGGCTTCTAACCATTGATTGCACTTGTTCCTTTTCTACATTAAATTGGCTCACCTCTCTATATCTATATGGGGAGATGCTATCATCAGCAATGCTTGATCTGCTGCCACATGGATGGAGTTGTTGCTCGTAACCCAATCTTGAATTCATACCCCTACTGATCCCAGCAAATCCAGCTTGTAGCATCCTATTCGCAGAACCATCAGCACCAGATGTAGAAGACTGACCTTGAATTGGTTGACCCCTTGAATGGCTCCACCTCGCAGAAGAAAGATCCCTAGTACTCTGGACTGAAGGCATGAAATTTCCCTGATACCTTCCCTGGGAAAAGGGTTGATGAGACGATGACCTTTCTGGTGTTATTGCATGTTGAAATGCTACTTCCCTACCCTGCTCTATTTGAGAGCCCAAAAGATTATTTCCCGAAGTTGAAGCTGACATTCCAACAGTTCTACTACTTCTGTTACTAAGCAGATCGTGTATCTGACGCTGTATCCTTCGTCTTACTGACACAGTTAAAACCCCTGTTCCTGATACCGGAGAAGCAGCTTGAAAATCCCCAACAGGATGTCTAGGAGATGAAAAAATCCCAGTACCATGATTCAATGGTGTTTCGGGTACATATGCCGAGTTGAGGTCTATAGCCTCCCTTACGTTCTCTACAGGAGATGATCTGCCTGAAAAATCATTCATTGTTCTGTGGTCGGACGTAGGATTTGGAGCTTGTGGATTTGAGGAAGCAAAAGCAGTTGGTCTACAGCCTTCGCAATACCAACTGCCTTCTGGTACTACGCGTCCAAGTCCAACACAAAAAGTGTGTGCCGGTGAATCACAAAGATCACAAAGTAACATTAGAGCATCATCACCACCTTGCTGGCATTCCGTACAAGTCACGTTTTCGTATGGGTCCAGATAACCCCTAAGTTCTTCTTCAGATGGTTGATAAACCTGCAGATCACAAAAACCATTTCAATCAATAAAACAACAAAATTGGGCCTATTCTGGTACCAAAATCTTGAAAATATGGTGGCATGAAGATACCTGATCACGTTCTGGGACTTGGATCACCACAGTCCTCAAATCAAACCCTGTATTTGATTTTGCAGGCTTACTAATAGAAGCGAACCGTTGCTTGCACAGAGGGCAACGAGATTCCACCTTTGACCACTCCATTATGCAAGTAAAACAAAAATAATGGCTGCAACAATTTAACGTTCCTCGAACGGTCTTCTTCCCTTCTTCTGAAAAACAGATCCCACACACTGCTTCATTTTTCAAATCCTCTACCTTCCCCTTACCCTTTCTTCCTGAACGTTTTCTTTGATGATGAAACAAAACCCCCCCTTCTTGTGATCTCTTTGTCGAAAAAGAACTCCTCAAAGCAGTAGTCAAATCTCTGCAAAATTTGCTGGCCTCTCTCACCTGTTCTCTTTCTTCCTCAGATATAGTATAGTCAAAATCAGATAATCCAGAGCTCACGAAATCTGGATCAGAGTCTCTCATGATTCTCCTATTTCTCTGACCAGAGTTCTTCTTATTCCTTTCTTTTACAACTGGTTTCTTCTCTGTGAATGCCCCATCATTACCAGCAACGGAGTTTCTCCGCAAACCGCGACTCTTTGTTAGTTTCTTTCTCATAGGCTTTTTAATAACCTTAGAATTCCTCTTCCTCTTTCGCCCTTTGACATGACCATTTTCCAGGAAAGGTCTCCTCACCTTCTTATTCTTCTTCCCGACTGCCAGCTCATCTTCATCATATAAATCAATTTCATCTGGTGCAAATTCATCATCATCTTCATCATCAACACCCTCATCTTCGAAATCCTCATCATCGCCCTCATCTTCGAAATCCTCATCATCACCTTCATCTTTGAAATCATCATCATCTTCTACTTTATATGAAACCTTTCTTTTATTGCGTGCCTTTCCAATGCCATTTTTCTCTTCAAAATCCTCACCATCTCCCTCATCTTTGAAATCCTCATCATCTTCTACTTTATATGAAACCTTTCTTTTACTGCGTGCCTTTCCAATGCCATTTTTCTCTTCGAAATCCTCATCATCCTCAACTTCGAAATCCTCGTCATCTTCTACTTTATATGAAACCTTTCTTTTATAGCGTGCCTTTCCAACACCATTTTTCTCTTTGAAATCCTCATCATCACCCTCATCTTCGAAATCCTCATCATCTTCCACTTTATACGAAACTTTTCTTTTCTTGCGTGCCTTTCCAATGCCACTTTTCACTTCAAAATCCTCATCTTCGTCCTCATCTTCGAAATCCTCATCATCTTCTACTTTATATGAAACCTTTCTTTTCTTGCGTGCCTTTCCAACGCCATTTTTCTTCCTACCCATAAAAGCCTTTCGCCCTTTTGACCTACTGGCCTTCCTCACTTTCTGTTCCACCTCATCCTCCTCTTCTTCAAATTCACCTAAACTCTCTTCTGATTCCTCCCCAGTAAAAGAAGTGTAATCCTCAGAATCATTGAATTCTTCATCTCCCCCCACTGTGTAATCCTCATCGGATTCATCTGATCCATTGTCTTTGGACTGAATTCTTCTCTTACCACATGGCTTGCTCCCAACCTTTCCTCCCCTCCCCATTTGCTCTTAAACCCTAACAAGCACAAAACCAATAGTCAATCAAACTGACTCATACAAAGAGACCCTAGACCTCAATTTCTTTTAAAAACATAAAATCTAATTAGTTAAAGCAAATAAATGTCAAGATTGCATAATTGGTTAATTTCTTGTCTAACCTTTATAAGGAAAATTAAAAATCACAACCAAGAATTAACAAGAAAGGATAACCAATCATTCTTCACCATCGATCTATGTCATTAAATACAAGAAAACAAAAAAACACTGCACCAAAAAAAAAAAAAAAAACCCTAAATCAAGAAATTAAAGGTGCTAACAACATGTATCAATAATTTGTCTGAATTGTGTCAATTACCAATACATAATCAACGTATTAACCATCAATCACACAACAATCATACAACCCAATACCAAAATCCATACAATACTTCGATTCCCTAACCCCTTTGGCGTTTTAGAGAGAGAAAATCCATATTATCGAATCAGATGATAAAACAGAGCTACATACATGGTTCAATTTTCGAATTGGATTTGTTATAGAGAGAGAAAGAAAGGGTACCTGAGAGGAGGAGGAACAAGAACCCGCCTTGGAAATGGAAATCAATTGATTTTCTGCAAGCAATCTTTTTCCTTTTCGATTCGATTTATATATATATGTATAGTGATTTTGGGTAGGATATATATAACGTTACAATTCAATTCATATTCATACTCATACATACATGGAGATTACATATACGCGATGTGAATCTTGGAGAAGCATATCTCTATGGAGAGAGAGAGAGAGAGAGAGAATTGGGGGAGAATTGATACACCATACGCAACTACACCTCCTCTCAATGGAGGCGTCTAGTGAAATTACGCGAATGCCCTTTTGCATTGTAAGAGTAGTTGCGACTGCAAAGTTTGACTTGGGTTGTGATACTATGTGCTGTGGACTAGGGTTTCGTCCATGAATCTCCCAATATTTCTTGACGTGTTTTATGGATTTGTATTTGACCATGTTATTGGAATTCGGTTTGTGTTCGGTTTATTAAAAGGAAAATATTTGGTGACTTAAATTTTTGTGGTTCACATGATTTGAATGTGTTAAAATAATATTATTTTATATTTAAAATGATGTCATTTTGAGTGTTTCGAGTTATGATTTTTCAGACCACCTACTATTGTTGTTATTAAAAATACATTAGAAATTAGTTATATAAGTAAGTTTAAATAAATTTTAAAATTTAGTAAGCTTCAAATTAAACTTGAATAACTTATTGTTAAGCTCAATAAACTCATATATATTATAAAAAATGGGCAAATTACATATACCCCTCGAGGTTTGGCTAAATTACAAATACCCCCTGAGGTTTGAGAAATTACAAATTTTTCCCTGAATGCTATATTTGCATAACAAATTAGGGGGTAATTTGTTATGAAATTTAAATCTCAGGGACCAAATTGTTATGAAAATACAAACCTTAGGAGGCGGGATGTAATTTTCGAAACCTTAGGGGTATCTGTAATTTAGCCAAACCTCAAGAAAGGTATATGTAATTTGCCCATAAAAAATCAAGTTATTTAATTTCGACTCATATTTAACTCGTTAAAAACTTGTTTGAAATTAACTTGTTATGTAAATAATAAACTTAAGCACATTTTAAAACTCGTTTAATTTTTAAGCTAAACTTAAATAATTTAGTATTTGGTTCAACTTGACTTATTTACTTACTTTACTTACTGGACTATAATACAATATTGTAGATAGAACTGTTCGTTTTGTTATTTTTCAATGTAGTGTAACTGAAAGATTCACAAGAAATTTTAAAAGTTTTATTAAAATTTATAAAAAATTATATTAAAAATAAATAAAGAAAAATGGCTAAAGATGCTCTACAAATATCTCCCACAATATTTGTCATTTATCTTATAATATTAACAATAGTATAAAAAGTACCAAACTATAAAAATAGAACAACGATGTATCGATTTTTCTTCCGACCATAATTGTAAAGTTGGAGCAAGCATTAAAAAAAATTGGGTAAGATAGCAATTGCACTTTTGCAGTTTAAATGGGTTGTTTATATATATATATATTTTTTATTTTAGGATTTTATTTTGTAGATTATTTTAAGTTAAAAGTTGATAACTTATAAATAAAATTTAAAAATATTCTTCTCATAGTTTTAGAATAATTAAATTTTAACTTATTTATAAAATTATAAGTTAAATCGGTTCGGTTCGGTCGGTTTTTTCACTAGTTTTGCACCGAACCGATCATTTCGGTTTTTCATATTTGTGAACCGAACCGCCTAGAAAAATGACATAAACCGGCGCGGTTCGGTTTATTACGGTGCGGTGCAATTTTTTCGGTTTTTCGGTTTTTCGGTTTTTCGGCCTTTTTTTTTCCTAGTTAGGCCTCACATTTTGGGCCTATATTTCTATCCATTTTTGCATAAAATTTGGGCTCAGGCCATGTAATTCCTACATAGGTTTGGGACCTCACATTTTGGACCTATTAATATTATATAAGTTGGTTCGGTTCGGTGCGGTTCGGTTAAAAAAACTAAAAACCGTAAACCAAACCGAATATACAAAAAAACATAAACCGAACCGAACCGAACGATTGAAAACTTAAAACACCGACCGAAAACCGTTCGATTCGGTCGGTTTGGTCGGTCCTTCCGGTTATTCTTTCACCCTTAATTTCCACACAATAAATTGTAGCAAAAACTACAAAAAAACGGTTTGACACAAATTAAGATAAACAAAAAATTATAAATAATCTATTTAAACTGCAACGAAAAGTACTAAACAATTATTGCCTATAAATCCTTGCCTTGTTTTTTCGGATACTCCGTAAACCAAAATTTAGGAAGGAGAAATCTTATCTATAGCAAAACTTGAATTCTTCACCTCTCACTAAGTGTAAATGTTCTTCCAACCAACTAAGCTAGTTGTACCTTCTTTGTTTTTTGATTGATTGGATAGCCAAAAATCGATTATAGGGCTTTTTGAAGAGTTGAAATTAGAGATGGAGGAACATCTTCCATCCATACTAATAATCCATTTAATCGACATGTCATTCGAGCCAATCCATGAGTTATCGTATTACCAAGTTAAGCCTTATGTGAAATATGAAATCGTTTGAAGAGTCGACCTTTCTCAAAGGCATCTTGCAGGATGTGACCAAAAGGAGAGAGTACGTACCATCACCGAAACTATAAATGTTCTGGCAAACTAAACTAGCTACTTGTACTTAAATTGATAAATTGCTACATTGTGGAATTATATGGGCGTATGAAGCATAAATTTTTGAAGTCAAGCGGAAAAAAATAAATCAAATTATTAGTGTTTAAACCTTTGCACATTAAGCTTTTGACGTTGAAAATTTTAATTAATTTTTTTGAGTTAATATATAAATTTAAAATTACTTCTCATTAATTAGGTGTGCACTAAATATTTTGTAGCAAGTCACATTTTCTAATTTACAATAAAACTATTTTAAAGGGCATGTTTAGTTGTTCCAAAAATACGAATTCAACAATTTTAGAATGCACTCCTTCACAAATTAAATAATTAGAAGTGTTTGGTGGTAAAATGAAACAATGGTAAAAATTGTGAATTGGCTCATTTATAAATTGATAAGTTTTGAATTAGTTAACTCAAAATGAAATGACTTCATTCATATAATCAAAATGAATTTTCAAATTTAAGTGATAGTTAAAGATACATTATAAATTTTACTTAAAACTTTGCTTAATATAATTAAGAATAATGCTTGGGACCCCCTTTTGGGGGTCACCCCCTCACCCCCCCCTTTGCCACGTGGCAGGGGGTGATTGGAGGAGCAGGAAAAAAAAGAAAAATAAAAAGAAAAGGTAACCAATGAGAGAGAGGGGGGGTCAAAGGGGGTGGGAGAAAAAGGGGGGATGAATCATTACTCTATAATTAATTTTTAGTACTTATTTGTACAATCAATCATCATACACCTAAGTACTATAGTTAACATCATTTGTTGGTTGGATTTTCTTTAATCTTTTTTTTAAAAAAATTGGTTCAATTAAAGAAAAAAAGAAGAAAAGAAAGAAAGGAAAAGAACACTGAGAAGCTAAATTTGTTATTTTTATATGGTTAGGTGTTGGAAAAATGAGGAGAAAATAAATATATATTTCTCAAAAAAGTTTTATTTTTTTCTTAATTACTAGTAGAAAAATTAGTGATTTCATTTTTTTTCTTTACAAAAAATCTAAAATCCATAAGAATTAATAGACTTGCATTGGTAGATGAGACATTTATTTAAACTTCAAGATAGCCTTAGAAAGGAAAACAAAGAAAAAACAACTTTTGGATGCTACTAAATGGGTTGTAAACAAAGAAATCAAATGCCTCTCTATGTTTACAAATTGCAAGGTGTTAGTAGATAGTTTTGAACAAAAATACAAGTTGGATTGGGAGGTGGACTTAGTAATTCCAAGATATTTTGTCTCTAAGTAAGTATTTTGTGCTTCTATGTGTATCAAAAGTTGATTGACAACTAAAAGTTATAAACTACATGTTTTTTGGTCTATTCTAAAAAAGACATCTTATTTCAAAATGTATGAATATCACTCTTTTGTTTAAATACTATTTGTCAATTTTTTAAATACTACTACTAATATTATTATTTAATTAGGATAAATTATACTTTGCCTTTTTTATATTTGATCATTTTCTTATTTTGACCCTTTTAGTTTGTTTGTTTGTTTTTTTTTTGTAACTGGACAGGAGGGGGCCTCAACCAGTGGCGGAGGAGCAGCGGAGGCGCGGCGGAGGCGGTGGTGCTGCGACGAGCTGTGATCGGCGAGGTGGTGGTGCTGCGACTGCGACGATCGGCAAGGAGGTGGTGCGGCGACGATCGGCGGCAGTGGTGCTGCCTCCTCCTCTTTCTCTTCTCCTCTCTTCTTTCTCTCTTCTCTCCCTCTTTCTCCTCTCCTCTTCCCTCTGTTTGTGCAGAGCTCCTTTGCTTGAAAAGAAAAAAAAAATTCGAGCCGTTTTGAGCCTCTCAGTTTCGAGCTCTGAGTCATTTTCCTTTATTTAAACTTCAAGATAGCCTTAAAAGGGAAAACAAAGAAAAAACAACTTTTGGAGGCTACTAAATGGGTTGTAAACTAAGAAATCAAATGCCTCTCTATATTTACAAATTGCAAGGTGTTAGTAAGTAGTTTTGAACAAAAATACAAGTTGGCTTGGGAGGTGTAATTCCAAGATATTTTGTCTCTAAGTAAGTATTTTGTGCTTCTATGTGTATCAAAAGTTGATAGACAACTAGTTGAACCAGCGCATACGCTTGCAAAAGTTGTAAACTACATGTTTTTTTGTCTATTCTAAAAAAGACATCTTATTTCAAAATGTATGAATATCACTCTTTTGTTTAAATACTATTTGTCAATTTTTTAAATACTACTACTAATATTATTATTTAATTAGGATAAATTATACTTTGCCTTTTTTATATTTGATCATTTTCTTATTTTGACCCTTTTAGTTTGTTTGTTTGTTTTTTTTTTGTTTGTTTGTTTTTTTTCACTTTGACCCCTTCATGTTTCAAGTTTTTTCCTAGTGTATTTCTAAAGCTAACTTTTATTTAAAATTAGACAGAAAATATTATGTTCATTATCACATAACACAAAATATATTGTTATATTAGAGTTTGAATTTGTGTAAGATATGTGAGTTGTACATAATAAAATATTTTTATACTACAAGACTGTCAATATGTCATTTTTTATCTAATTTTAAATATAAATTAATTTCTGGAGTAAATTGAGAAAAAATTAAAA